GATATTTTTCAACCATTTGTCAAAGGTGATTTTTTTTTGATATTTTCCATGATATAATAAGGTTAAAAATGGAATTTTGTTTGAAAATTAATGGGCAATTCTCACAAATATCACAAAAATAATTTTTGTTTTCAAATTTAGAAAATCTTCTCCAAAGTTGCTCATTTTAAAATGATATTTAATTTGGAAAAATATATTCTAAAACGATACTTAATCTGAACAAAAATGATATTATGGAATACACATTTACGGAATTCCCACATTTACATTTTGCTAATGAAAACTGAAGTTGGTATATAAAATAGGGAAAAGGTGTGAGAAGTGTACTTATCTAATAGTGTGATGGCAGAAACAGGTACTAAGTTCGTGGGAAATTTTACTTCATGAATCCATCCAAAACCTTCTTTTGTGATCTTCTCAATTCATTATAAACTGTTTGCTTTTTAATACACATTATCTTAAAAGCTGTTTTTTTCTACTCCCTCTCTATTCTCTGTCTCAACAAACAAAGCGACCCCCACATAATATGAGAGACAATGTTCATCCATGGGACATGTTTCTTATGTATATACTATTATTTAAAATTTGGAATAATACAAAATTGGGTGCAGTGCCTTCAGAAAACAATTGAAATATTTATTCAAATATACATATATATATATAGTACATTTCATGCTGCATATATACTTTGGGTTTAGGAGTCCAAAATTTACAGCAAACAATGCTAGCCTTTGTGACTCATTTTTTGGAATGAGATTTTTTTCGGAAAGAGTATTAGGATTTGGCCTGCAAACTTATAGGCCACATGTTTCAAATGTGGCTTAGACCAAAATTAATTATTCATGTTTATAATTATTATGTCATTTCATTTCTGTTTGAATTATAGTTTTCTTTTGTTGTAAAATAACTACAGTCTAATGTACAAGAAGTCCTCTTCCGTCTTGTTTCAGCTGGAGACCTGAATTACTGTCACCACCCCCACAAGCCGTTGTTATCGCCGTAGCTCCATCATCATCATCGCTCCAATCTATTTTAATTTTTCATTATTAAAATAAAGAAATGAATATGGAAAAAATGTCTTTTGAAAGAGTAAACGTATCAAGCTAATTTCGTAAGCACTGCATGGAAGTGCCTAAACTTACAATGCCCACAAAAAAAGTGGTGTTTTCGTAATTGATTCTATAACTTATTCACCTAAGAATCTTATGAAACACAATTTTATCATGCCGATTCCCCGGTTAATTTTTGGTAATGGTTAAATCTATTCCATAAATATATGTAAAATTTTACATAGAGATGAATTTTAGGTGAGCTAATTAAAGAGCATTGGCAAGGCTTAAGAGAGAGAGAGTTACTAAGTAAAACCGTGATGTTTTGATTAGTTGGCCTAACGAGACCGAAAAAGCCTCCCTTGGTATCATCACTTTAACTCGGCAAAAAAAAATAGTTGAAGAAATCTTGGTGTGATTTTTGGCGTCGGTATATGAATGTATATAATGAGTATATTACACGAGTGTATAAAGCAATGAATGAGTTAGTTTTGATAAGAGTGAGAAAGAGGGAATGAATAAATGCAAAAGCTCTAAAATAGTTAGGAGAAGAGAGGAGACTGTTAAGCAAGAAGGGTTTCCCAAAAGAAGAAAGCCAAAGAGACGAAATAGAAAAGGACAAAAATAGCGACAAAAAGGCAAATGAATAGTGGTTGTTGAGATATGAGCCTATTCCATTTATTATTTAAAATCCTTTTTGTAATACATAAAAAATTTACCAGTTTTTCTTTTTTTTTAAATATATTTTCATGGCTAAGGATATGTCATTTGAGATGGAGAGATCAACATCTCTCATTTATTACCTTCTCTTGCTTTTTATTTTTCCATCGATGTTCTCAATTTTATTTATTTTCTTTGAATTTTGAATTTTGCACTTATTGTTGTCTCAAAGTAATACTACTAAAAATAGTGTTTGGACAAAAAGAAAGTAATACACTAATTTCTAATGCATTATTTTAAAACCATCAGAAAATGTAGTAAATGTATAATTTAACATTTGGAATGAATCCATGTTAACGTAAACCAAAATTTGCATTTTTATAGTATGACTCATTCTTCTATTTCCCATCAAATGCATGTATTAAATATATTAAAATGTGAAATACACTCATTATTATAGTATTGGTTTAAGCTTACATATTACAAAAAAACTGATATGTTTAAAGAATTATATTAAAAAAAAAAAAGAATTGTATTGTTATACAAATTGTTTTAAGAAAATGAGATGTGCACTAAATTAAAAGTTAAGATGGAGAGAGATCAATAATGAAGAAAGAACACAGCAGAGAAGCTGCTTTGCTTTTCGCTCATATCAAATCACGCACAGAATTATCAGATGCTACTGATTTGAAAGACGTAGTCAAATTTATTTATTTTTCATGTTTTATGATTTTTATTTACTACAAAATTATAAAAAAAAACTTAATATAAAAAAGACAGGTTAGGATGACAATGATGACGTACTTTCGCAATGATGCTCTTTGTCTTAAATGCATCGCCACTGTTTTACTCTCTCTCCTTTCCTTCGTTATGTAATTGTACCGCTGACGCAATGCATATTCAATTTTTGATTTCTTATAGTTCCTTTTGTCTATGTGAAGATCAAATGTGTGTAAGTTTGGTTTTGTAATTAGAATGTTTATTCTAAAGTGATCCAATTTTAAACTAACATATTTAAAAAAATTGACTCAGTTAACTATATAAATACGTCCAGTTATGTTTGTAAGGATTTAAGTTAATGTATGTATGAAGTTCAATTGGAAAAATGAGATCGTTTAAACCTGACTATCGAATGGGTGATGGGAGTTTTTTTTTTTTTTTGGACAAACTAACTTGCTTTCATTCATTCAAACTTGCTTTCATTCTATCTTTTTATGGCATTGGGGAATGCCTTTTGTTGTAATGTTTTAAACTTTGGGTTTCGGTGATGGGAGTTTTGATTTTGATGTTTTGGTTTACACAAAACCAAATAATTTTTGTCTTTACTGTTCTTTCTATTCTTCACATAGACTAGATTTAATATGTCCATGTCTCATAGCCTAACTGCACAACTTTGCACTCATCCTTTTTTTTTTTTGGGTGCTACATTTTCGATATATAAATGGGGAAAATATAAAAAAAAACCATGACTTTTCAAATTTGTGACATTTAAATCTCCAACTTTAAAAATATCGATTAGATCATTAAATTTTTGTTGACTTTTTAAATAAATAATGAACTTTTGTTAACTTGGCCATCGAAGCATTTCGTGAAGTAGACAAATAGATGTTTTAACGGACAGTTAATATTTTTTAACGAATTCTCTTTATCTACTTAACAACATGCCTCAAAGGGCCAAATCAACAAAATTTCAACATTTCTTAATGAAGTCAACAAAAACGTAATGATTTAATCGACATTTTTAAAGTTAAGGATTAAAACGTCCTAAATTTGAAAATTTATGCTTTTGTAAACATTTTTCCCATATTATAGTTGATGTGATAATATAAAATACGATAATATTACAAAATAGCCAAACAATTTAGAGAAACTAGCCATGTGTAGGTAAATAACGTTTTTCTCAGGGGCGAAATGACAAAACTATCTTCTGTTGATGTGTTGAGATACAAAGAACACAAACATGTATAAGTAATGATTGAAGCGTAATGTTAATAAAACACATGCAATTTTAAGATGCCTAAAAAATTTATGAACGTTTGAGCGAACAAAGACCATGTGGCAATTTAACGATTGCCTTGTCAATATGGTAAATGGGCTGCAACGCAGATAAGAAGACCACATCCATGTTATTTTATGGATTACATGTAATTTTACAAATATGCATGTGATTATAGAAAAAACATGAATTGAATTATGAATCTGAAACTTGAGTGTGAATTTAGTAAAGAAGATGAATTATTAAAAAAAAACACAGTATCTTAAAGAAATATTGTTTTTTTTTGTTAACAGCTTTAAATTTAGCTCCTTAAAGAAATATTGTAATTTAGCTCCTTAGTAATTCCTAAAACATTGTAATTTTTCAATAGGACAATATTTCTTTAAGATACTGTGTTTTTTTTTAATAATTCATCTTCTTTACTAATATTTCTTCATCAGTTGTGATCGTGGAAGATGGAGCCGTGACGAAGTTTTCACTCCCAATCCAGCGTTTGTCTTGTGGCAGCGTCACGATCAACTCATTTACAGTTTCCTGCTTGGATCTATCATGCTCTCGGTTCAATCACTTCTTTCCCGTACCACCACTGCCCGTGAGATCTGGAGCACACTAGCCGAGACGTACGCTAAACCCAGCCATGCCTATGTTAAACAACTGAAGGATATACCACCACTGTCAGTGAGATCTGGAGAACATTAGCCGAGACGTACCCTAAACCCAGCCGTGTGTTGGATTATTGAGACTATGAAGAAACAGAGTAAGAGATAATGATCTCTTCTTCTCTTTTTAAAGAAGACAAGAACGAAATAGAAAACTTTTATTGAATCTGAAACTTGTTGATATTCACATGACGACAGGGCCGGCCCTGAAATTTTGGGGGCCTAAAAAAGTTTAAGGGTTTTATAGTAGTTTTTAAAATTAGGGGCCTTTTTACAAAAGTAAAATAAATTTGGGGGCCTATTTTGTAAATAAAAATATCTAAAATTTTGGGGGCCCAAAACAACAGCTTCACCTTGCTGTGCTCAGGTACGGCTCTGCATGACGATACAATGAGTTTAAATAGAAAACAAATAGACACAACACATGAAGAGTTGTGTCTCTTCCTACTTGTGACTTTTGAGTAAAACAACACAAACTTATAACCATTAACTGAAAACTCAATTATCAACCAACACCGTGCCCATGTTAAACAACTGAAGGATACGCTGAAGCTTTGGATGAAAGGAAGTCACACCATTGATGAATACTTTCAAGGCTTAACGTCACGGTTTGATACGCTTGCTAGCCTTGGGAAACCAATCGAGCATGACGATCAGATTGAACACATCCTTGATGGACTGCCTGAAGACTATAGACCAGTTGTTGATCAAATCGAGGGACGTGATGTTTCGCCGACCCTCGCCTATGTTCATGAGCGTCTGTTGAATCAAGAAGCCAAGCTCCTCAACAAAGCATCTTCATCAGTGATACCAGTGACTTGCCAATGTTGCCACAGAACGCAACAACTCTCATGGTCGTGGTGACTACAACAACAATAACAACAAGCAAAGGTACAACAATAACAACCAATGGCAACCATCCTACAACAAGTCGGAGCAAAGGACGCCTCATCCATACCTTGGTCGCTGTCAAATTTGCAGCATTCAAGGGCAATCTGCCAAACGCTGTCCGCAACTCCAAAACCGGTCTCCTCAATCAGCTCCGTCGCTGCCTAGTCCTTTCATTCTGTGGCAACCTCGAGCTAATTTCGCAATGGGAGCAGCCTATGATGCAAACGGCTGGTTCCTTGACAGTGGAGCTACCCACCACATGACGAATGATCTCGCTAATCTCTTCACCAATAATATCATGGGGGTGACGATGTCATAATTGGAGATGGCTCGCCACTTACGATCTCTCACACTAGTTCCGCCTTCTTACCTTCTCAAACACGTAAACTTCATCTTAATAAAGTTCACACTAGTCGGGTTAGGGTTTTTAAACTCGATTTATTATAAACGCGGTACAGTAATCGCGATATTATGATTTTTAAACGAAATTAAGTAGATTGATTGAATTTGTTGAAATACGTAGAAATTAGAAGATTAGGTCGAATTGGGAAGATTTTAATTAGTATAGGGTGAATTGGGTAGAGGTCAATAGTACAGGGTGATTCTAGTTGAGCGACTATAGTACAGGATGCCACCTACAGGCAACCCTTGTGTTCCTGATATTCACAAAAACTTGATTTCGGTTTATCGTCTTTGTAATGCTAATCAAGTATCGGTCGAATTTTTCCCGGCTCATTTTCAAGTGAAAGATCTAAGCTGGGGGGGGGGGGGGGGGGGGCGCCTTTTCCTTAGAGACGAACCAAGAATGAGTTGTATGAGTGGCCCGTCTCAGCACCGCAAGTTACAGCTCTCTTTGCGTCTTCCAATAACAAAGCGACATTAGCTTCGTGGCATTCAAGATTGGGTCATCCTTCACCACCTATTTATCTTCAGTTATCAATTCTTTTTCACTTCCTGTTTCAGCTTCTTCTTCTTCCACAAATTTGCTTTGTTCTCATTGCCATATTAATAAAAGTCACAAACTCTCTTTTGCTGAAAATATCATTAAATCCACCCGACCTCTTGAGTTTCTTTTCACCGATGTTTGGACATCACCACTAACATCCGTTGATAACAGCAAATACTATCTCATTTTCGTTGATCACTATACACGTTATACTTGGTTTTACCCACTAAAACACAAGTCTCAAGTCAAAGAAAATTTTCCAATCTTCAAAGCTCTAGTTGAAAATTGATTTCATACTCGAATTGTCAACCTCTGCTCAGAAAATGGTGGTGAGTATGTTGCTATGCGTCAATATCTCCAACAGTGTGGAATCTCTCATTTGACAACCCCGCCGCATACGCCAGAGCTCACAACAGAATCTCGGAGAGAAAGCGACAAGTAAGCTACAATAATTAAATAAAGGAAACACAACAACGACGCTTACAGAAGCTACAAATACTCATTACAGATATAGTACATGCAACATAACTTACAACTTACTTTCATACGATACTATAATTCACCTAAGGCCTTTAAACTTATGCAATACGGATTTTCACTAGGCAATGTTTTTTTGACCCTTACCCACAAAGGCTAAAAGTAACACATTCCTTTCCCAAACCGTTAACAAGAGACCTAAATCCCTTAACGTCATAACTTTTACTACCTCATCAGGCAACACTCGAGGGTAGCGATCCACTCTGAGCCCTTGGGAAAATCTCGGAATCGCCATGCTATAATCATAAAAATGACTAACAACTCGACCATATTACAAGTATAACTAAGTAAGAAAAATACTTATCATCTATATTAGCAAGCAATCACTCAACATTAACCTTTTTTTATCGTAAGCAATACTACACAAACAATCAACAATCAATACACAACAACGTAACATGCTTGCTATCAACAACATTATGCAACTAAATTATAATCAACAAACAATGCAATTAATTTCCTTTAATAACGACCAATTAATGACTTAAAAATAAACAAGCAGCATAACGGCTATTACGATGGCATAACCGATAATATTAACCACTAAACTACTTTGATCAAACAATTCACGCAATGATATTAATGAACTAATAAAATTAGAACACGAACCTAACATGCAACGATCAAATTATAGTAATAAATTACGATAATCTATATAAAGAAACATGGTGTAATAGATCAGATTTGGGTAATTCATACAATTTCTTTTCAGATTTTTTAAAATATATATACAGATAGAACAACCACTCAGTCCACACAAAAGTGGATCATCAAATTTTATACTATGGCTCTGAATGGAGATAGCGGATCAAGCAAAAAAAATATTGATCAAGCGGATCTGGCAAAACAAATGCGGATCAAGCGGATCTGAGTGCTTAAAATATGTTTGAATAGTAAAAGCGGATCAAATAGTGCCGATCAAATATTTATTATAAATTTTGAATAAAATATTTTACATAACACTAAATATTAAAATAAATTAATCGTTAAGGACAATGGCGTGTAGAGATTAGGTAGACATTATCTTATATTTTTTATTCGATAATTTTTGTTCTTTTAAACAATTCTCTAAATATATCTAATAAATATGAGACAGAAAAATCAAATAATAGATATGGATCAGATAATTTATAAAAAATATAATTTAATAAGTTTTTAAAATTAAAAAAAATAAATTAATACCGTAGAGCATTCAGTTTTATATTATACGATAATAAGTAATAACTATTGAATGTAGTATACTAGTGGTTAGAGCTAGAGAGGGGTTAGTATGTATAATGAATGAAATTTAATTTGTGAGAGAGAGAGAGATAAAACAAAAAAAATTTCCAAACAACCTTTTCTGTTTTTAGAAAAAGTTATTAAATTTCCGGAGCGTCTTTTAGAAGAAACCCGAACTTTGAAATTTGGGTGTTAATTTGGTCTATTTTTAGAAAAAGAAGTATATAGGGAAACTCTTTCTGAAACTTTGACATTCACTGGAGACAGATACAGAAGGAAGCAGAGAGACGGAGAGTTAAAGTAAGGAAGTATATATAAGTTTATTTTTGTTGATAAAATTTATTATATCTACTTGCCATGCAGCCTATGCTAAACTATTAATAAGTGCAAAAAGAACATAGGTGGGGTAGTGACTACCCTTATACTTAGACTTACCTTATTTCTTAAATCTTTCGGTTGTTCTGCTGTCATTGAATAATAGCTAAGTAGTTTCTTAACCGTAATTGAATAAAATTATTTTTTATAAGTATTTTTGCCGGTTTAAACATTTAATTTGCCCCTAAACAAAATTTAAAATAGCCCTAAACATATAAATTATAGAGTTCATTTTATATATATATATATATATATATATATATATATATATATATATTATGTTGTGGCTCTAGGAAAATAAAATTCAATGAATTTTTTTTGCTCATAATTTTTTTTCCGATCATTTTTATCCATAAATTTGTTTATTTGAGCTATTTTTACCCACACATTTTTATTTTAAAGAATATTTTATGCCTAAAATTAAAATTTTAACCATTTTTTTTTATCTATAATTGTTGTACTATAATGGTTTTTACTTAACCTTTGAGTAATTTTTCTTTGTAATATGTATTACTTTGGAACATATATATTATTAGTTTTTATATATGTTGAATAAACATTGAAATTAGATCAGTTTCATAAAATTTAGTATACACATATTGTTTTCAGAAAGAAAAAAAAGTATTTTAATCTAATCATTAATAATTACTAATTATGAAACTAATGTTTAGGGGGTGTTATTGGTTTATTAATTTGTAAATCCATATAGAATTTGAAAATTTCTATTAATTATGAAATTAAGATATATAGATTTTGAAATAACATGTGTTTACCTATGGATTTGAATCCTTCTATTTTCCTCTTTTAATTCCATTCAAATCCATTTAAAACATAATTTGAATTCTCAAATCCAAAAACAAATGACTAAACGAATAACATAGGATTTTAACTAGTATTTATAAATGATAGAACCAATAACACATGATTTTAATTAAAATTTTAAAATCAATGATTGAATAACAAATGATTTTTGTTTGGATTTTTAATTCCTTATAAATCCATGAACCAATAACCCCTCCTTAGTAAAATGGTATATAGTCATATTAACGTGTTAAGTTAAGTTTAAATAATATTTTATGTTTCTACAAGTAAATAATAATAACATACTTTGAACCACATGTAGATGATTCTATAGGCTCCGAATGGAGAAAGCTTATCAAGCGGAGCGGATCTAGCGGATTAAACGTATCAAGCAGAATAAAAGCGGATCAAGCGTAACTCACAGTACAAATGCGAATCAAGCGATTCAAACGCTTCAAATATGTCTTGAATGGTAAAAGCGGATCAGGCGGTGTAGATGAAATATTTATATTGTACAAAATGTTAATTTTAAATAAAATATTTTACATAAATAATACATATGTGAATACATAAATAATATATATGTGAATACGGACCAAAGGCGGTTTAATGGCGGTGCGAATGAACCATATATTTTTCTTCCATTCAGGACTTGTGACTAAAGGTGAAAAGCGTTTCTCTATTTTAATATTAAAATATTATTGAACCGCTTATAGTTTTGTGAAGCAAATTTAAGATCCACCATGCACAGTTGAAACGCATCATTTACATGGCATTCCTTTGGTGTATTTGGTGGTTCACCCTTTATCTTATTTTTTAATATTAAAAACAAAGCATATTACACAAAACCTAGTCTATTATTCAAATGATCTCTTGTATTACTTGAACTATATCTGCTACTCTTCGTCACATATTTAGTCAAACTATAAATAAATCTCTAATATTTATAATCATTACTATTTGTTATGTTGTTACTTCCTTTAGAATTTATTTTTAATATAA